AGCCAGGGGAAGCTTACTCATCATGTTATATGTCACCAGGGGGGATTCCCTCATCGTTGTGAAATCCCAGCTCAGCATCACTTGCTATGCAACCTGCAGTATTCCTTTCACTCCATGGTCCCAAGGCACGTCCTACCTGGTATCCTTTCCCTCACAGTCCCAATGGCTTATAGTTTCCTCTATGATTATTGTTAATATAATTTTAAATTACATTTTCAAACACTGAATTTCCCCTCACAGTTGTTTTTCTTTTGTGGTGCAGGAAGCCATCTCCAGAACCTCATCCATGCTAGGCAAGTGATCTACCATGAAGAAAGAGTTCAAACGCCTCTACATACATCTCAGTAGAATCCACTCTGGTCTACAGAGTGAGTTCTAGAGAAGCCAGGGCTACACAGAGAAACCCTGCCTCACAAAACAAGCAAGCGAACAAACAAAAACCTCAGTAGAATCACCACAGTATCAGAGAGTGATGCAGGAGAAAGGCCACTGATGAGTGTTTGACCCCACCATCTTCTTTTTTTGACAGGAAGATCATAATTTGCCTAAAGGTACTTTGTTAGCATTAGTGCAGAACCTTATTCTAGCTTCCAAGTCTGTGTTCCTGTTACATACTATATAGAGTAGAGTAAATTTCTCCACAACTTATCCAGCATATGTGAATGTCCACATGGGGAAGATAACACACACACCCCTTCTCCAAGCACCCTCTGTGCTTCACTTCTTTATTTTCACTCAGCTTTTCTTTAGAATTTCTGGAACTGCATCTACCCTACATTAGCCAATTCTGCACAACCTGCTGATGGACCAAATCTGACCGGCCACCTGTTTTTGGAGACAAAGGTTTACTGAAACATGGGCCACACTGATTTGTCTGCCTAATGTCTATGGTTGCTCAACCATGGTAGAGTTGATTTGCGACACAGACTAGGGTTTTGCAAAGCTAAAAATACCTTTAATTTTACCTAGTCTGGATAATAATTTCGCAGACCTTTGCCCTAAACAAGCACAGTTTGTGATTTACTTGAAATTTACTGTGTTTGGTTATTGAGGCAACCCTTTAGGGGGAGATGTCAATGAAATGGCGAGAAAATATTAAAACACAAATGAGATGAGCGAGACTAAAGCAATTATTAACAAATTAGACTATTTCTACACTCACACCTGCATCCTCAAGGTGTTATTGTATTTACTTCTTGGCCACTGTCCTAATTTTAGGGATGCTAAAACGGCAAGATGTTCATTGAGACGAGCTCTGGATGCTACGTATTTAATAACTGCTCTGTTCTCCAAGCTGAATAACTTTTTGCTTAAAATGTTGCAAGGCATTAGGGAGGCAGCTCAATAGCAGGATCCTTGTCTAGCATGGACAAGGCATACGCATATGCACGTACACACAAATAAACAGCTAAGGGAATATAGCAGCCCCAGTGGCCCCCTGAGAGTACATGCAGCCACTGATGGTCCTCTGCGTGAGTTTGCTGAGCCATAAGCCGGTTGATCCCCTGCAGATGACGATCGGTGCCTTGGTCTCTACTACCTCCCTTCTTCCAGTGATCTTGTACACAGAAGCCTAACTTTTAGACTTTGGCCAGAAGTCACTTGGGTTCAGAGGGTGTGCGCATGGTGAAAGGAGATGCTCTCCAAGATGCAGCACATGGCTTATGGGAAGCAGTGTGGGCCAGAGACTGATTCAAGTCTTTGTTTCTTTTCTGCCTCTGCTGACTCTGACCCACTTAGTTGAGGTTCTGTCTGTAGCACCCATACATTGGCGGGCTACACCTCACATATGGCCATCTATTCTAGTTCACTTTCTACTGCTGTGATAAAGCAGTGGCAAAAATCCATCTGGACAAGAAAGGGTCTATTTGGCTTATATGTGCCGGTTGTGGTTAATCAGGACTGGAGCTTGAGGCAGGAAACAAGGCTGGCGGAATGCTACTTCTTCTCCATAGCTCTCTTAATTTGCTTCTTTATACAACCTAGGAACGCCCGCTCAGGGGTGGCACTGCCCCAGTTGTCTGTGCCCTCCCACGCCAACCATCAATCAAGACACTGCCCCACAGACATGCTCACCGGTCAAGCCGATGGCAGTGATTCCTAACCTGAGGTTCCCTCTTCCCAGCTGACTCTAGTTTGTGTCAAATTGATTTAAAAAAAAAAAAAGACTAACCATCATAACATTTATCAAAGACCCTGAGGAGAAACTATAGTAAAGAATAAAGCCTACAACCTCCAGCTTCCCTCAATGGATGGCTGGATGGCTCTATGTTAGAGCTCTTCACATGGATTCCACACCTTTGTGGCTGCTAGGTGGCTGAGATATTCTCAGTACAATACAATAAGCTGCATTTGTTTGCACCTCATCGGTGAAGCATTATCTGTCACACAAAAGCAAATATCCTTTATCAGGGCCTCACTAAATCTAAATGCAGAGGTGAAGAAGCATGGCTGTGTGGTAGCCAGAAGGACTGCACACCAGCCTGGTTCTGGACGGAAGAGTCACTGGGCGGTTTTCAAAACATCTGCAATGGATGCAAATGCAGTAATAGCTCAGGGAGTAAAAGTGATCAGCCAACCCCAACAACCTGGGTTCGATCCTAGGACTCCACAGTGGAAGGAGAGAACTGATTTCTGAAAGTTGTCCTCTTTCACACACACACACACACACAGAGAGAGAGAGAGAGAGAGAGAGAGAGAGAGAGAGAGAGAGAGAGAGAGCTCTAATTGGACTTAGTATGTTATCAAAAAAAAAGCATGAAATGGGTTGGGTTATGTTGGAAAGATATGAGAAGAGTTGAAGGGGAAAATGGGGGTAAGAGTTTTATCATATATATGTTTTAAATTCTCAAAAAAAAAACAAATCCTAATGGCTACCACAGGCTGATGCCACTACCCTTTCCCACACATTTCAAGAGTTCTGATGAAACTGTATAGCCTTGCTGAAAGTATACACCAACATAGATGTGTGTGTGTGTGTGTGTGTGTGTGTGTGTTTGTCCCTCACTTACAGAATCCTTGTTCTTGAGAAAGAAACTGAGGCTGAGTTTCTAATTTACTCTTTCAAGTCACAACTATAACGAGAAATGCCCCTCCTTTGTTCGGGCCTTCAAACATCACACAGAAAATGGAGAGACCCACTGTACAAGCCACGGCAGGCTTTGTGGTTTCCGCTCACATTCATGTTAGCACCTATAAATAAACTCCTATTCTTTGAATAAATTCTTATTTAAAACAGAAGAAAGAAATAGGAAAGGGTGAAGACAAGGCAGGAAAATGTACCAGTGGCAAGTTCAAATGCCAACATGAGCCTCTTAAGAGTCTCTTAAGTCTCTCAGGATGGAGGGCATGGGGACGGGTGGGATGGAGGGTGTGGGGGAACAGGATGGAAAGGCATAGGGCAGATGGTAGGATGGAGGGCATGGGGTAGGGGGCAGGATAGAAGGCATGGAGGAACAGGCATGGAAGGGTATAGAGAGGTGCAGGACAGATGGGAATAGGTGGGGGGACCAGAATGGAAGACTAGGAGGGGACAACTGCATTTCCAGGTCACCAGAAGTGCCTACAGAGGAAACGAGATTCTCTCTTGTTGCACATGGGCGGCCCTTTTCCAAACAGAGCCTTCTGAAGTTCACACATTTGACTAAATCTGAAGATATATTGGTCCTGCTCAATAATAAATGGATCAATATAAATCAATCCTATTCTTCTAATCTTTTTATTTTCAATGTCTGGAGAAATGCCACAGAGTCATTTTCATTAGTTTTCTGCAGCCCGATGGCTACATCTGTTCATTCTTCTCTCCCCCACATCACTTGTGTTCCTGGCAGATTCTCTGATGCCAAAGCTGAACTGAGGATGCACTCAGGGCAACCACCAGGATGGGTGGCCACTCGTCATGGGTGACTACCCAATGGGCTAGGCTTTGTCTTTCGCAAACTGTAGGACCATAGATGATCTCCCCACCCCCATCCCACTCTCCAGGCTTTGGTTTCTAGCTATAAAATGTGGAGCTGCCTTCTGATGTTGTGGATCATTGTCAATAAACATAGAAAAGACATTAAAGAATGCACAGAATACAGAATGAGGAGAGCAGCAACAGGGTCATGTACTTTATTTAAAGATGGGAGAGAAGGGAGAATGGGATACTGCTCCCACATTGAACTCTGGGTTCATGTCAAGCATCTGCATCTTTTAAAAAGGAGCTGGAGACACAGTTCAGTGGTACAGTACTCGTCTGGCATGTGTGAGATCCTAGGTTCAATCCCCAGTACAGCAAAGAAACAAACAAAACCATGTTAACTTTATCAGGCTAATGGGCAAGCCAGGCTTGGTTGCCCACTTCTTTAATCTCAGCACTCAGGAGGAGAAAGCAGGCAGATCTCTGTGAGTTCAAGGGTAGCCTAGTCTACCGAGTGAGTTCCAGGACTCTTACACAGAGAAACCCTGTCTCAAAAATAAAAAAGCAAACAAACAAAAAAAGACACATGGGCAAGGACAAAGGACAACTCTGCTTGTTCAAATCTCACTAGCACTTTGGGGTCAGCTTGAGTCTACTTCTCACATAAAGTCTTCAAGCAGACTCCACTGGCCATTCTTTTCTCTGACCCACAACCCTACAGTTTGTCTGTATTGTTTACAGTTAAACCTGGCTATTTTTTTCTCTGCTGTTTCCTGTTTCATACACACAGATCCTGTTTCTCTAATCACATTAGCAACTTCTTTTGTTTTTTTTTCTTCTTCACTGGTACCATCTATGCATGCACAAAACCATATGACTCACATCTACTGGTGGCTGGAGAGATGGCTCAGTGATTAAAAGTGCTTGCTCCTCTTGCAGGGGACCTAGGGTCAGTCCCAGCACCACTGCTACTTTCACAACTGCCTACAATTCCAGTTCCAGGAGATCCGATGCCTTCTTCTGATCTCCTCGGACTCCTACACACACGTGGTGCACATACATACACTCAAGCACAGATTCATAAATAAAATCAAATAAGTAAAATATTTAAAAGATAAAAATTATCTTTGCAACAAAATTAAATTTCAAAGTTATAAAGGTAGACACCTGGCTAGAAGTTTTGTTGAGAACAGGACAAGTGTTTCTATCCATAGCTAAATGACTTCCTGAAAGTAACAGTTTTTCATCCTTCAATTATTTCACAGGTACTTGTTGAACCTTATGATGCACCAGGCATTGTTCCGGTCATTAAGATATGTGGTGACTGCAAACTTGCTTTCTATAACAAGACAATGCATATGTGCACAGGATTGTTTTTACCAAACATCTCCGTATGCTTTAGCTCCCCATTATGTATTATACCCAAAAGTCAAACCTTGAAAAGTCTTCTCAAGGGTCAAGTGGTCAAAATCAAAACTAAGTTATTTTTATCTTAGCTTCTCCTGGAAAAAAAAGAGGAACAAAACCCAACCCCATCTCCAGATATGGACAAACCCATCCTTCCAGCCCCATCCAAGCTGCAATTTCCTGCAGAAAAGATTTATTTTGGTTCACGGTTTCAGTCCATCGTCATAAGGAAAGCAGAATTAATGGCAGCAAGTGTACATGGCAGGGAAGGGGAGAATTCCACATTATGGTGGACTGAGAAGCAGAAAATAAAGCTTGGACAAAGTGGACTGGGCTACAACCTTCCAGTGGTTGCCTGTAGCTGTCTCCTGGGACCAGTGAAGATCACCTTCTAATAGTTATAAGAGTATCACTTATGCTGAACACATAAGTCAGTGGGGGACATTGCAGATTGATACTGTAATACTTTGCCCAAGAAGGACTGCAGAGAAATTAAAGGCCACAGCCAATTCCAGCACAGCCTGGTTCAATTGGGCTTCGTTCTATTCACACAGAAGAGAAAGCTGCCTCCGACACACAATCACTTCTACCCACATTTTCTGCAAGGCAAAGCCCACCTAACATATAGTCTTAAGAGAGGAAGGCCTAAGAGGCAGATACTAAAACAACACAGTTGCAAAAAAAAGATAATAATTTATTGTCAATGTTTCTAAGGCATTATATATTAAAATTCCTCATTACTTTCCAAAAAGTACAGGCACAGAGAAGTTCACATTTGACATAAAAAAATAAAGGGGAAGAAGAAAAATTCACCTGTTTTAGTAGTTTAAGGAACTATACTGAAAATGAAACAATAAATTACTATGTAGAAATTATTATTACTATAACATATAGTAGATAAATAAGAAAGTAAATTCACATTGTTCAGAACCCTACACTTGATGTAGATTCATACATAGCTGCCTGCATTCATGGCTAATCCATCTGAGGTATCAGGCTTGGGAATTTCTCACTCTACAATGAAACTCTCTACCCCAGAATTTCCAGGAAGACAATTTCCCCCAATAAAACAAATATACTATTTCCTCATGACAGGCATTCTCTATCTGCAGGTGACTGATACAGTCACTAACTTCCTCGTGGCCTGCCAAAGGACAGGCATGCCTCTTTTGACAGTTTCAAAAGGACAGAGAGTCGCTGCTTAGCAGCCATCTGCAGTAAGACACACAAGTAACAAGTCATGAAACTGTGTCCTACAGAAAGGCTGGTGATGCCAGTCAATGCAAAGCCAGTATGCGGTATCAGTAGCAGAAATTAAGCAGTCCTAATGATCCAGCAATGATAGGAATAAAAACCTGAATGGGTGGCAACCTTAAAAGATGGTAGCATGTTCAAAACTCACAGACTTATGTTTTCAAAAAAAAAAAAGATACTGAGGCATCTCAGGAACAACGAAGAGATGAGAAACAAGATGCATCGAACTTATTTCTGTAAGTAACACACAGTGATGTGATTGAGCTCAGTTGTCCATACACCCAGGTATAGGTGGTGGAGGTAGATGAAGAGTTATGGTCCTCAGGTCTTGGAAGTAACTTCCTGCTCCTCCCTTCCTTTGCTTAGAGGTCTATCAAATATAATTGTGAGTGGAAAGAGGGCTTGAATGAACCATTGTCTCGGTTCCCCATCCCCTGACTACTTGCTGTCACCTTGCCCCATGAACACAGGTTAAGAGCCAGGTACTCTGCTTGTACTACAGGAAAAGCATCCATGCTTGAGCAGAGGCAGCCAGTGCTTTAAAGGCAGCAGAAATCTTGGGTTGTGGATCTTCGGTTCACCCCAGACCTCATCTAGCTCCTGAATCCAGCTGGGACAGCTCTCACGAAGTCAGCAAATGGAGCCAGGCTCCCTGTCTGTGCAGCATGAGTGGGAGGACTGTCTGTCTCCTCCTGCTGGTCACTACAAGATGGACTGTCTCTTCCTGCCGGTCCCTTCAAGACATGTTTTTGAATTTTCTTCCTCCTGAAACTGCAGAGCATTGCTTTCTGACACAGACCAACCTCCACCACTTCATTCTAGAAAGAAAACAAAGACAATCCAAAGTTACCGCCCTGCCTAGTTTCCACTGTCAGCTTGACCTGAACTAGAATCACCTAGGAAAATAATCTCAATGAGGGGTTGCCCTTGGCTTGTGGGCCTGTCTGAAGGTGGGGGTGCTGTGTTGATTGCCTTAATTAATGTGAGAGGACTCTGTCTGAAAGGGGGCAGCACCACTCTGCAGTCTGGAGCTCTGGATGGGGTGAGAGTAGAGAAAGCAATTGAGCATTGAGCGTCAGTGCATTCCTTTCTTGACTGTGGTTATGATAGTAATGAGAAACCTGAAGTTCCTGCTGCCCCGAGTTCGCTTCAGTCACAAACTGGAACCTCAAATCAGGTTTTATTCCAGCAACAGAAGTGAAACTAGGCCAGTCGCTAATTTTCAGAAACCAAAATTATTTTCAACATTTATTGAAACATGTGGCTTTCTGGAGCATATAATAGTAGATCAAGTTGGAATGACCATTAATTGTGAATAGAGAAACTTTACTCCCTGTGTGCATGCACAAATACACTCGTGCGTTTAGGTAGGATGCATGCCCACCGGACACTCTTCAAAAGGCAAATAGCATTTCCCTTTTTGGATGCTAATTTATTTGCAAAATAATTTATATTTTTATTTGCAAACTAAGTGGATATTCATTTATTTTGGTAGGCTTGATGACAAATATGTGATCGTCTTTTGGACAGTCAAGGCATTTTGACATTTGGCCCTTCTTTGTACCCCAACTGTGGCAATAGCTAACATATGAGCACCTCAGACCACCTTCAGCGTGCCAGGAGAAACGCACAAGGGACATGGCGGCTTAGGTGGAGGTCCTCACATTGGCCCTGGTGGGCACTACGGGGAGAGTTTGCTGTTCTGTGTGGGGTGTCTAGTCCCCAAGGCCTACTTTTCCCTACACTGCTTTCTCACTATTCTGTCTGCTTGCAGGCTGGAAACTCTGGAGAAAGAGACGGGCTTGTGGAAGAGTGAGCAGAATAACGGTTTGGCACAAGGCAAGGCAGCAATACAGCCAAGCCAGGTCATCTGCCCCAGTCCACTGGCTTAGCATTCCAGGTCCTAATTCTTTGCTTTCTCTACTTACCATAGAGCCAGAGAGATTCTGGGTCCAGCCCGAGACCCGCACAGCTAGCCAGATTCTTGTCGTGGAAATTCTGCCGCACAATGCCAAGCACCAGTTCTTTACTCATCATGAACTCCATGAAGCCATCATCTTCGGCTGGAACTCCGAACTGCAAGTGGTAGGTAACCGTGGCGTTTTCAACGCTGGAGGCCAAATCATTGAAACAGACAGACAGACATTACAGTGACTAACTCGAATTACAGTGAGGCTCAGAAGCCACTCTCAGCATTAACACTTCTTTCGCTCCACATCTTCCTGTAAGCAGCTTCCGAGGGTGCACTAGCCTGAGAGAATGCACTGCCCTTGACCCCGCAACCACAGGCCCTCACACAACCACCACCAACTGCTCACACTGTAGGGGTCCACCTTTGGAAGGGAAGGATACAGTCCAGCTATATAAAGAAAGACTGAGAGTTGGCGCAGCGCCCACCTACATCAGCCTTTCATCCTGGAGGGGTCAACAGGAAGCTGTCCTCCTCCTCTATGCTCATCTCCTTGTTCTCAGTGCTGCCACTACATGTATGCATCAGAGCTAGTCAGTTTAATGAGTTTTTTAAAAGTGTTTGTTTATTTATTCTTTCGTAAGTTCTCACACACACATGCACGCGCACACACACTTTGATCACACCCTCTCCCAGGTTTAACCAGTTAACCTATAAACATGATTATGGTCTGAGTCATGACTTATTACCCTGAGCGAGCTCCAGACCTCGTGATCCCCCCCCCCAAAAATATTGCCCTGTGCTCCAGCAGTGAGTCCTACTTCCTGCGTTTGGGGGTAATGCTCCCCTATATCCACTTCCAGAGCCCCCTAAGACATGATGACAAACTATTAATCTTTTATTAATGAAACCTAAGGAATTTCCAACCCCAAGGAGGCCCTAACCTTTTCATCTTTTAGCACACATTTTCCCAATTTTTTATAGTGAAAAATAATTATAGGTCTATCCTTAATTAGTAGCATAAGCTGCCTTATAAAGGCTACCTCACAGTTATTTTAGTTATATGGTTATGATGACCCAGATTAGGCTCAGCAATAAAAAAACAAATCAATAAGCAGTCACATTAGACAGATTCTTCTAGGCAAAGTATTACAGAGGCTTCCGTCTCTGGAGTTAATTGGGCCACTACCCTGCTAAGGACAGGCAAAGAGCTCCCTCTTGAGGCCAGACGTCACATAGGCTCCTGTCTATACATTTTATAATGCAGGGTCTGATAACTCAATTTGCAAACGTTCCCCAATAGCAAAGAAGTGTGCCAAGTTCTGTGAACCAAATAAATAATGAAGTTTAGACTCTAACAACGCCCAGGTACCAGGATGCCACTAAAGGCAGTCTTAAAATCCCATTTTCTGTCTCCAGTCCATTTACCCAAGTTTGAGAGTGACCTGAATATAATCTCGTAGCAATGTGATTTATCACCACGGAGGATGGACAGGCAGGCAGGCAGTTCCGTACGCGCACTGCTAAGGACATGGGCTAGTTGATGAAAATGACCTGAGGTAGACTTTCAGAAGATCAAACTGGAAGCAAAGGGAGAGCATCAAGCTGCCCGACCCAGTCTGAGAACTCCATCCCTGTGACCCCTGTCTCCACAACCCCAACCGCCCCCACCCCACCCCCGGCTGATTTGTAAAAAGCAGAAATTTGAGAGCTGCTTTTCTGTGGGCTTTACCACAGCAGTCCACCACTGGAGTGGGTCTAGTGACTGATACAGCAAGCAGTATTTTCAGGTTCCTGTTGGGCCAGCCTAGTCTGAGGGAAAGAACTCTCTGTAGATGTGAATACGCGTACAAGGGATGGGAGATGTCTTTTCAAGGGCAAGGGCAGTGACCTTGAAAGTTGGATCAAGCCAAGTGTGTGAGGTCCAACTTTGCAATTCTCCCTTTCCTACATGCATTTGTGTGCCCGTGACTTATGATTGAAGGCAATATGGTCAGAATTGGGCAGTGGGTGCCTATAGAGACTTATGAAGAAGAATGAGGACAGCCTTGGACTTCAGATACTTTCTCGTCCTCCCACATCAGGTCACCACTGGTGTTAGACGCTTCCCACAGGTCTATGAGCTTGAGTGGGAGAATCGCAATAGAGACACTGACTTTGATGACGACCTCTCAGTGACACCCGAGGAACAAATGACAAGGCTTTGTCACATAAATCTTGTCTAAAATACTTGCAGTAATCTCTATGATATAAAACTATAATTAATTAACTGACTTTTTACACACACACACACACACACACACACTTTGGTCTATATTTCCAAACTATTAAAAATTTTATGGAATAAAAAACTGTATACATATATACATGCATATATACATGGGCATATATATATATGCATACTGTGTATAGTAAAAATGTACACAGAAAAAAATCAAGGCAAACTGTTAGGGTTGTTAATTCTGAAGAAGTGAGTGTAATTAGTCATTGGTGGCAGCACTAAAGAAAGGAGGCAGAAGATGGACTTGACTGACAGGTGTGTCTCTATATGCTTAACATTAAATGAGGAGGATAGAATCCTAGGTCTCTTTCGTGGCACATAGATTGTGTCTCTTCCAGTATACCACCCTCTGAGATTTATGTCTGTTTCTGACCTACATTCATGTCTATGCCTGTCATTTCCATTTTTGCTGCGTTGTGAGGTTCCAGCCGAGCTAAGGGGTTTCCAGTACCTAGTCCAGCACAACACTGTGATTCTATTGTTGACCCCTTCCCTGCACCAAGACTCTTGGAAATCACCGTGGGTGGGTAAACAGTGACGGGTTGGGCAGGTGGATGGGTGTTCTTCTGAGCAAGAGGCAAAGCTCTGTGTTCTAACTGTGTGGAGGCCCGAAAATGTGAGCCTGCTTTCTGTTGACCAAAGGTCAGAAGGTGGGAGCTTTACCGGAGTTCCGTAAAGGTTATTGTGCTTCTCCTTCAAACAAAGGTCCCACCTAGTTATTGAACAGAGAGTTCTGCTCTCTCAAGGTTATTGTCAACAGGTGTGGCTAATTGCCAGACCTTGTGCTCCAGGAAAAGAGAAGTGGTTTGTTCCTACCTCAAACAAGAGTCTAAGGATCCAACTAAGTTCCAGTTCCCTTTATGGAGATAACTTTGGATTCCACCCAGGGAGTGGTTTGCCTCCAGAAATATTTTGGTCTAGGGTGTAAGCATGACTTGTTTTGTTCTAGCAAAATAACATTTAACTATGAATGTAGCCTGTGACTTTCAAGTGGTATGTTCATTCCCTTGTATCATGTTAATGCAGTCTTTTGTCTTACTCCTACCTTTTGGGGTCAGGGGTATTTTAAGCAGTTGGAAATTAAATGTGGGCAAAACAGGCAAAATTTCAATACTCATTGGAGTTCCCTCCTAATCCTATATGTTTCTCCATTTTATTATTTTCATTTAAGTCTTCATATTCTTTACTATATTTCTAATCCCCATGCCTTTACCCTGGGAGGAGGTATTTTTGTTGTGGCTGGTCCCCGACATTACCTGAAGTCCACGATGTCAGCAGAGGTGAAATAGCGTCTCAGCGACGGTGACTGTGTATACACGTCCGTGAGCTAAACACACAGCAAGAAAAAACACACAAGTCACTGGTGATCATCTCACAAGTCAGCTACAGAAGCAAAGGACTTCCGGACAAAGGGGAATTCACTCTGGGTAGGCATTCACTTGTCTAGGAGCTCTAGACTAAGAGTAAGACAGTGGAAGCTGACCACAGATCAAAGCTCAAGCTAAAACTCAATGAGTTCAGTGTTCAAAATAGAGTCTCATTGAGAGTCAAGTACATGCCTATAATCCCAGCATTCAGAAAGCTGAGGAAGCCAGACTGCCCAGGAGCTCAAGGTAAGCCTGGTCTCCTTAGTGAGTTCTGGGTCAGCCAAGCTGCACAAGACTCTGTCAAAAAATAAATAAATAAAAAGTAAAAATGGGCTTATTGATAAGGTCCAAGTAACTCACTGGGAATTGTCTACATCACTTAGGAGCTGAGATGACACTTGGTATCCTCAGTGGTACTATGGTCAGTGATCCTCAAGCAGAAGCTCACAGAGGCACCACAAACTGCTCAGGAAGTGAGGGAAGAAAAGGGGAGGGATCAGTTCAGCATATGCCACTCAGCACCAGGGACATCACTGGTCATGGACTTCTTTTTTTCTTCTGCATAACTTCATTGGTAGGAGAAAGCTCTATCCTGAGTGTCAGGTCCAGCACTGCCCCAGGCAAGGGAACAAAATGATGAAGTTTCAAAGATATGGAGGCTTTGCAGTAAATATTGCATGCATCCTAAAAATGATAACGCCCATGTTTTCAACACCTGCGCCTCAGGCCTTCACATTTGGCTGTGCAGTAGCTCCATAGTCTATGGTTGTTTTATTATTATTTTATTGTTATTTTCTAGTAAACCAATTCATGGGTTGAAATTACCAAAAGTCGGAAATATACAAACGAGGGGGTAAGGGTAGGTAGAGGATGCAAAACCAAAATGAGGCCCATGAGATTGGGCAAATGAATCTGGAAGAGAGAGGGGATGGGGAGGCCAATAGAATACATTGTGATGGGAAGGAGGAAGGGAATTCTAAGGACAGACCAATACTGCAAAGATGGTGGCCGGGAGACAGGGGAGAGGAGCTAGTGAAAAAACGGACAAAACTGTAAGCATATGAAAATACCACTTTTTTTACTTTGTATTCTAATTAAAAATGGTTGAAATGCACTTGATACATCTAACATACTCAATATCAAGCCTAGCCTAGTCTACTTTAAAGACGCCCAAAACACTTTCTTTTGTTGGCCTACAACTGGACAGACCCATCTAACACAAAGCCCATTTTATAATAAGGTGCTCTACTCGTACAAATTGTCTAAGTATTGTCATTAAACCCGAAACCAGAAAGGCTGTATATGTGTGATTTCACACCACCAAAAGTCTGGAAACCATAAATTAAGAATTAGGCATTCTTTCTTCCTTCTGTGGCACCGACCAACACCCTGACATTGATATACATCCTTTCTTCACCTATGCTTAGAAATCACTACTTCTCATAGAATCATAACAACATTTTATTTATGCTCAGACATGTTCTCAACAGCTTGATCAAGCTGGTCTCAGGTTGCTGACTCAGTATCTTCCTGCCTCACATTCCCACATAGCTGAGACCAGAGATGTGTCCCATTGTGAGCAAATTAAGACTTACTTTTTTTTTTGCTGAAAATTACATTGAGATTCATGTCTAAGAAACACATCGGTGAAGGCCCTTCAGTCTCCCACAGAGATTACATTACATCATTACCCCCAGCTCATCCGTTTCCCCACTGATGACCATGTGACTTCCTTCCATGTTGTCTTTACCATAAACTATGCTGACGTAATCATCCCCAGACATTTCTGTGCACCGCTTTGTTCATGTGAGAATCTCCCCGAGGCACATGGCAAGAAGTGGAACTACTGGTCCAAAAGCAGCTGCATCTTCAGCTCAGCTCATTCCTGCGGAGTGTTCTCCATTTTTCTCTCCTCCGTGCACTCATTCCTATTGCACTCCCCTTACTCTTACTCAACTTAAAATCTTCCCACCTTTGGGGATGTAGGACCATGTGTCACACTGTGTATCCTGCCTGTCCTACTATAGGGGGAGTACCTTTCTAGATGTTTAACTTTCTCAGACCTCTTACCTCTGAATCATCTGTCATTTCCTTTTCTTAGCTTTTCCCTATCTATTTGGAGTGGTTGGTTTTATTTCCAGACAGTAGTTATTGGCATTATGTGACATCATTGTGTTTCTGACCTTGAAAAATTATTTTTGCTTTCCTGTGCATTTTGTCTGCATTTGTCTGTATGGGTACTGCACAGGTACATGGTGCTCATGGAGGCAGGAGAAGGCATCAGATTCCCTGGGCTAGAATTACAGATGTTATGAGCTGACATGTGAATACTGGGAACCAAACCTGTGTTCTCTGCAAGAGCAAAACGTGCTCTTCACCACTGTGGCATCTCTCCAGGCTGATTTTCTAAGCATTGATTAGTTCTCCCATCAAGGTTCAGAGATACAAATCCTAGCTCCTTTGTACTAGAGAACACATGGCAGATGAAATTTACAATGTTCCTTCTGCATTAACATTGGAAAATTAAAATCTTGTTCCCCAATGCACTAGTTCTAGGGTAAGTCAGCAGGGGGCTGGGATCTGGTACCACTTTCAGCATGAGCACAGCTCTGGAATTAAAGTCACAGCTACATCAAAAGGAAGACCGGACCCACTCCTGCTTAGCCTGCAGCCTCCACCCGAACACTATTCTGGGCTTCTCACTTCACCAGTGGTGAGCTTGTGGTAGGCTAAACATCTTCAGGTATACCAGGAAGGCCTGGTGAGCCATGAATTGACCCAGTAATAAGCACTGTAACATACAACACCCAGTAGAACCTTCTTCTTTCCTCCCTAATCTCAAGGAGGTTGCACAACCAAGCACTCCCACCTAACTCAGTGCAAATTCAGTGGTACTCAGGATTTGTACAGTTCTAATCTCAGAAATGGAACCTTTAAAAGAACTCCACCTGAGAGGAATTTTGTCACTCCCTTTCTACAGGTTAAGAACCAGTATTCCAAGAGGTTACAAACTTGCCAGTTTCTTCATACACAGCTTGTAGATTCTGAGGGCCAAATTCACTTTTATATGTGACAGACATGAAGCCAGGGTGAGGGATGTGTCTTTCACTGAAGTATCAGGAAAGGAAAGAACATAACATGATAAGAGCTTCGGGGGCCAAAGAAGTCACCTCAGTTCTTGAGCTCCAGTATGAAGAAGGTGGATGATGAACGAGGGGAAATTCAGGTTCTAGAAGGCAACGTTCACTGCTCAGTATGAAGGGAAGGTGATGGTAGATGGAGGATGTTTTCTCAAGCACTAAAAATACTGGTAATAAATAGTAACCAGATGCCTCTCTTCTTGTAGACTATGCCTATCATTCCTCATAAAAACTTAGGAGTGTATGTTTTGTGTGTGTGTATGTGTGTGTGTGTGCGTGCGCACCTGCCTGTATGAAGGCCAGAAGTCTTCTTTCTCTGTTGCTCTCCATTTTGCCTTTTGAGCTAGTGTCCCTCCCTGAATCCAGAACTCATCAAACAATTAGACTAGGTGGCCAACAAGCTAGGGGTCTTCCAGCCTCCCATTCCTGACTCATTCACCCCAACAATAGGATTATAGATTCAGGCATCCATGCCTGGCTGCTTTATATGGGTTTGGGGGATCCAAATTCAGGTCCCCTTGTTTCCACAGCCACCTCCCCAACACCCACTATTATTTCCAACCTGCTCTTTCCCTACATTCCTTCCGAAATCCACCCTAGGATCTAGCACTCTGAACATAGCAGATGCTCAGCAAAATGTCAAAGCTAAAATTGTAAATTAAAAGTTGTAATGTATGGCTGGTGCACAGTTAGTGCACACTCTAAGAGTCTCATTGCTAGGCAATGTCCGCCTGACAGCTGTAATAGCAATGTTTATGGTGTACAATAGCCTCTAAAAACTGTTTTTGTTCCTACATTCCCTCCTCCCTGTCTTCTGCAGGGTTCTCCTGGTTCCATCTAATGTTTGACTCTGCTGCCATCAGTTGCTGGATGACATCCCTCTGATGACAACTGAGCAGTCTATGAGCATAGCCAAAGGGGTTGAAGACACCGCAAGAACACGGCTCACGGGACTCATAGAGGCTCACAGAGGCTGAAGTGACAAACACAAACCCTGTATGAGTTTGACCTGTGCTTTCTGCATATATCTTATGGTTGCATAGCTTGGTGTTCTTGTGGGACTCCCAGCAGTGGGACTAGGGGTGTCTCTGACTCTTTCACCTGTGCTGGGGACCCTTTTCCTCCTACTGGGTTGCCTTATCCAGTCTTGATACGAGGGTTTGTGCCTAATCTTATAGTACCTTGTTAGGCCATGTTCTGTGGATACCCTTGAGAGGCCTGGTTTTTTGTTTGTTTGTTTGTTTGTTTGTTTGTTTTTTAGGGAAACAGGGGATCTGAGAAAAGGGAATGTTGAGAGAGAAACTGGCAGGAGTGGAGGGAGGAAAAACTGCAGTTGGGATGTAATGTAAGAAAGAAGAACAAAAGTTTTAAGAAGTGTTTTTGTTTGGATGTTTTTATTTCTTCAGAGTGTGTTTGGTTGCTTGGTTGGCTTGGTTTGGTTTTGGAAACAGGATTTCACTCCAGGCTAGGCTGGCCTGAAACTTTACTGTGGAGGCCAAGTTGCAATCTTCCTGTCTCAGGCTCCTAAGGGCTGGAATTAGAGCCATTAGCTGTCCCATGTACCTACTCAAAAGTAAAACACTTAACAGTCTGCTGAACATCAAGTGTGCTATCCTTGGCTGGAATGACAAGTATCAGAGAACTGTATGGACAAGAAGGCTCCCGGAGCAAGGAATGATGTGATGAGACCCGAATCTCAGAATGGCAACAACCGAGGGTGGCTCTGGTACACTGCTTTTGTCACACTTTCCCTGGAGTGGCGCCCAACCAAAGGATGAGAACTGTCAAATACAAATTATCAGAGGGTAGTTTGAGAGGTAGCTCAGTGGTTAGAGCCACTCACTGCTCTTGTAGAGAACCTAGCTTCCCAGCACCCAGAGCAGGTGACTCACAACCCATCTCTCTCCAGGTCTGGTGTATGACATCCTCTGGCCTCCATGGACACTGGCATGCATGTGATGCATATAAACTCACAAAGGCACACATGCATTCTCATAAATAAAATATTTTAAATAATTAAAAAATGCAGGAAGTCTTTGCCATTGTTATTACCCTCCTATACAAGCTAAGACATCAAACCAAGGTCACCAAAGCTGGATTTCTACGCTACCAGGCTGAAACTAGGATGTATGTCCAACTGTCTGGGAAATCAGGATTAAAGTGACATCCAGATAGGCCAGTTTCAACTTGCTTGAAAATGACGTTCCCTCAAGGCTTTATTTTTTCTTGTAAAAGCCAGTAACCTGAACCAACCTATGCTTAACAAGCCAGTTATTTTCTGCCATTCTATCTCTCTGTCTCCACTTTCCAAGGGTGTCCCCTTGGATGACCTAACCTCTCTCGACTCATGACTCCCTTCTTCAAGCCCTTCTAGTTCTATAAGACCAAACTCCTTTGCTCAGACCAGAGGATTTATTCCTTTATGGATTAAGGTGTTTCACATGTCTTGGAGAGGAATAAAGCCAATCAAGCTTTGCATGGTACATTCCTGTAGCTAGCACTGGAGAGCTTAAAACAGGAACCTGGCAACCAAGAGGAGTGTGAGCTACATAGGAGACTCTGCCTCAGAATATTCCTGGGTCTGGCATGAACTCCAATCTTTGGTAGCCAAGACTGACCCACAAAATTTTCAATCTGTCTGCAGAGCTTCCATCTTGCAGAAGACTCTTCTACATTTCCCATCCCACAGATCATGTACCCAACCTTCCAACCAGGAGGCTGGAGGTACCCAGCTTCTTTATCCCTTCTTTACCACTTTCCAGTCACTCAGGTCCTCTGAGGAAAGATGCCTTAAATCTGAACTCTTTCTTACCGCCCTCAAGGCTGCCCCAATTGAAACTGCCTTCATTTCTCAGATGCACACTACTGCACTGTCTCAAAACTAGTCTCTTCAAGTATTGTCCAGAACCACACAGGAGGAAGAAAATGAAAATCTAGCCTTGTCAGTCTACAACTAAAATCTTTACATAGTCTGCCCAAAGGTGGGGAGATCCCATGACCTACCCCCTATTTTCCTGTCTAGGTTAACCCCTATGTATCCTCAATACAGCATACTCAAGCCCAGATACCACTGCACAGATCCTTGAAATAGATACATATCCTGTTCTTCCATCTTCCTGTCCTTTACAAGGAAAATGTATATATATATATATATATATATATATATATATCCTGTATGTATATATGTGTATATATGCACACACATATATGTGTATATATATATATATATATATATATATATAT